TTTCTGTTTGGTTTAAACAAAATAGATTGTCTCTAAATATAGAAAAAACTAAATTAACACTTTTTTATCAACCTTTAAAAAAAAACTGAAACCAGAAACTGCCCCACATCATGGCAGACCTTTTAATTGATAATTTAATAATAAAAATAAAAAATGTTAATAAGTTTCTTGGAGTATATTTTGATGAAAATCTTTCTTGAAGAAATCATGTTGATAATACCTCTACTAAAATTGCTAAATGCATATTAATTCTTTATAAAGCAGGAAATATATTAAGTAAACACCAGTTAACACAATTATATTATTCATTTATACATTGTCATATAGTTCAATCCCCACCACGTCCCCGGTAGTACCGCGCTCAACTCGTTTCTCCGCGCAGCGGCCTTGTTCATCAAGGTTCGTGTTTCGGAGTTATAAATTTAAGAGAGGGTTATAACCACAAATAAGTAGCCTCCTCGTCTGTAGTGGTCTTCTTGGCCTTGAGGAAATGAATTAAATAAAAAAACAAAACAAAAAACAACGCGAATATTATTATGGGGAAGCACTAACAGAACAAAGTTAAAATCGCTTTACCTTCATAAGAAACAAGGAACTCGTACAATAAATTTTACAAATTGGTTATTTCATACAAAACATTTTTACCTAAGAAATGAATATATAAATGTATATCAACTAAACGTCTTTAATATTTTACGTTTCATGTTTAAATTTGTCGCCAAATGTATAAGGAAATCTTTATCGTAAGAAACCTAAAAGCAAATACGATCTTTGAATTAATAACAATCTTATTGCCCTTTTTGTCGTAAAAGCAAAAACCATTTTTTTGTTTTTTACCTAGGTCCAACTAAAATTTTAATTTTTGTCACCAACTGACTTTTGCTTCATTTAAACAGAAGTTTAAAGAAAAAATTATTTTTAATTGAAAATATCTTTATTTATTTTTAATTGCTTTTTGTTGTTGTTGTTGTTGTTGTTTTATTTTGTATATTATTTGGTTTAACATTTTATCTTGGCTTTTTAACATTTTATTTTGTTTTCTTTTAATATTTTTGCCTAAAGGTGTGCTATTATTGATTCAATATAGATATTGTATTTTTATTAAAAGTTAACCATATATTGTAAAGGGATTCATGACAAAATCCTCAAGATCTTCTAAAAGTCCTGTCGTTACTAATGTAAAAATTGAAAAAATATATTTAGTTATTGTAAATAAATGGATGTTAAGATGTTAAATGTTTGTCTACGCAAAAAAAGATGCGAAAGGAACAGCTTTACTAGCTTCAAATACAATTTTAACAGCATGATTTTGCTTGTTATACAGTTTTTTTAACTTAGTGTGAATTTTAATTGCCCAAACGATAATGCCGTAAGTAAAATAACTTAAAATGTATAAAATAAAAAATTGTTTAACGGCCTAAAATTTTAATATATCTTTGCTCCATAGATTATGCCAATGATTTTTGAGATTTTTTTGAACCGAGTTTATATATTGTTTCCATAAAATTTTTTTATCAAAATTCAATTCCATTAATATAACGGAAGTTTGCCTTTTGATTTTTGCCTTTTGAGATTTTGAAGTTTGCTTTTTGCCTTTTGAGTTTTATTAATTTGGAGGTTGGGTTAAATAAATGGTTTTTCTTTTGATTTGCTTGTTGCGTGGAAAAAAGAAAGTTTTTGTTTTTTGAACATTCACAGATAGTTTGTTGCATATAAGCCATTCATTTACTTTATTTAGTTTTTCATTGACTACTTTAAAAAGTGTTTCAATTATTTTATGAGAATAGAAAAGGTTATAGTCATCTGCAAATAAAATAAATTTTAATGAGTTTGATATTGAATATAAATCAGTTATCCATAGTTATAAAATAAATGCCCTAATATAGAACCCTGAGGAATTCCACAAGTGATAACAATTTTGATTGTTTCTATATTAACACATTGTACAAATTGTCTTCTGTTCAACAAGCAGTTTTCAAACCAATGTAAATTTGAATCTTTTACTCCGTATTGTTCCATTTGTTAAAAAGAATTGATAAATTTACGGTGTCAAAAACTATGGGTAGACCTTTAGAAAACTTATGTTGATAGAAAACTCATATTGTCAAAGAATTTTCTTTAGTTTATAAAGTGCGAATGATTTTTTATAGAAGTGTTCATAAATATCGTTTTTTGTATTTGTGTGAATAAGAGTTTTTTATTAAAAATGCCTCGAATAAAGAAAATAAAATTAACTTTTCAAAGAAACAATTTAATTATTTTTTCTTTTGTTTAGGTTACTGCAAAGAATTATAAGGTATCATTTTTTTTTAATTTTTATATGTGCGCATTTATTAAACAATTGTTAAATGTAGGTTTTTACATTATTGAAAAGATTTCAAAAAAATTAAAAACTTTATTAAGACCTTATAAACTTGTGTCTAGCTAACTAGCCACTTACTTATCATCCTTTTCTCATTTTGAACCGGGGTATTTGCGTGGTCTTATTATGGTTTGAAATTCGATGCCTTCTCGGCCGAGCCTGGGATAGTGAGAAATAAGAATTCAAAACCTAATAATGTAACGAATTTAAATTAAATAATATATAATTATATATATATATATATATATATATATATATATATATATATATATATATATATATATATATATATATATATATATATATATATATATATATATATATATATATATATATATAAAGTAAAATATAAATAAATGTTTTAACAAAAATGACAAAAAATAATTGACTAATATATAAACAATAATATAATTTTTTTTTTTTTAACATCATTGCTTTTTACAAGGTTGAAGCAACCACTAATTAGTGTTGGAAGTTACTGGAAAAGAAAAGATGAAGATTGTAGAACAAGATAACGATTGGCAGACGACTTAAAAGATTGCAAATTCTATGAATCAGGAAAGCAAGATGAAGGAAGCGAATTCCTAGAATCCAGAGTAAGAAAGTGTCGAGCTCGATAAAGAGATGCAACTTTTGCAGATGCTATTTTTGAAACAGACTTGATATAAGGTTTCCAAGAAAAATCAGAAGTGAGAGTTAATCCTTGAAGATGAAGGGTAGATGACTCATCGAGTACATTTTCGTTCATAAATATAGAAAGGTCTAAGTTATTGCGATAACGATCGGCTGAAAAAAATTGAGCTTTATCTGAAGTAAAATTCACCAGCTACTGTGATTCTTATGCTGTAGCAGAAGTGAGATCCTTTTCAAGCTCAAATGCCCCCTGCAAGTAATCAGAGGTAGTTGGCTTATAATCGTTACAAGAATAAATGGTAGTACCATCAGCGAACAATGTCATCTTTGATGTAAGAAAATCTGGAAGATTGTTAATGTAAATTAAGAAGAGTATAAGTCCAAGGATTGAACCTTGAGGAACCCTTGAGGTTACAGAATAAGAAGAAGAGTGCTGTCCATCAAGAACAACTTTTATACTACGAATAGAAAAAAAGGATTCAATAATCTTAAAGATGTTTCCAGATAGACCGTAAGGAGAAAGCTTATGGAGATGACCAGCATGCCAAACTTTATCAAATGTTTTAGAAATGTCAAGAGAAATGGCCTTAACCTCTCCACCTTTATCTAATGCACGATAAAACCTATCTGTTATTACTGTTAGCAAATCAGCCGAAGAACGAGAAGATCGAAATCCATATTGATGATCAGTAGGTTATGAGATTTAGGATGAGAGATTAAGTATTTGTTAATTAAAGGTTCAGAAACCTTAATTATAATAGGAAAAAGACTAATGGGACGGTAGTTAGATGAATCGGATTGCTCTCCAGAATTCTAAATAATAGGGATAACAGATGCTGTATTCCAGCAGGCTGAAAAACAAGACTCTGATAAGCACTTGATAAATAGTTTTGAAAAGATAGACGACAGTTCTGGAGAACACTTCTGCAAGACTATAACAGATATGTTGCCCGGGCCGCAAGCTGTAGAAGAGTCTAAGCAGGAAATGACTTTAGATACAGAAGCTAGAGTGATATGGATGTTGAGCAATCGATCAACCTGTTTGACAGCTATATTAGGTAGAGCGCAACTAGTGGAGTCATGAGATGATATTGATAAAAATTTTCTTAGCAAACAATTCAGCTTTGTCTTTAGGTGAGGTGACAAAGTCTGAACCATACAAAAGAGGTGGAATTACAGACTTGTCCTTATTATTGATACTAATAAAGATTCTCCAGAAGTCACGAGGGCCTAACTTTTTTGATGAAATACGAGATTTCATGATCTAAGAATAAAATAACAAAGTTTATTTTATTCTAATAGAAAACCACATAAACTTAAACATATTTGCAATTTCATAATTACTGTTAGAAACCATAAGTTGCTAATTTTTTATTTAACGGATTAACCACAAGCCGATAAGATATTGGAATATATGCAAAGTGAAAATAATAAAAAAAACAGTCCAGTGTGCCCATGAATACATTAATGTTTGGTAGTGCCATGTGTGTATCCATCGAGGTTCCTGACGTTTGTAAACAGTTGAAATTGTCAAATTAGAACAACGTGTTTGTGATGATACTGTCAGTTATTATTTGCATATAATCTGAGAGTGGTTAAATGGGTGATCTTAAGTCATATGGTGTATTGTTGAAAAGTAGTATGACGGCATCTATCCCATCTTTATAAAAAGTAATCACTGAAGTAATGGTGGCAACAAAGATTTGTGAGACTGAAGTTATTGATTTTAAGGATTTAGAGAAGGTGTGTAGATGCTGTAAAATATGAAGTGAGAATTTTAGCAGGTGGTTGTTTAAAATTTTTCACATAGTATGAAAGGTTTTTTGTTGGAAATAGTTTTTACTAACAATCAAATAAATAAATTTTTATATTTATAATTAAAGCTATAAATACATTGAAAGTTCATGAAAACAAGAACAGTTCGAAGCTGTTATAAAAACTATTAATATTTAAAAAAGTCACTCTAAAATAAAAAATTAAACCTGTAAAAATTCAAGAACTGTACCTTTTTTTGCTTTGCAAATATATCCATACTTTTCATAACAATCTTGAGCGTACCAACTATTAAAATTTATTACCACACATCTTGCATCTATAACTGAAACGCTACTTTTTTGAGATAATAGATTTTCATTAGGTATTTTTAGATTCCATTTTGAATGATCAGACCAGACAAACTTTTTATAACTCATAAGATAATTGAGGCCTTAAAAAAAAAAAGATATCAGTCATTATAAATACTTTTTAGAATAAAACTATAAAAATATATGAGTATATAGAAATATATGTTTAATTTATATATATATACATATATATATATATATATATATATATATATATATATATATATATATATATATATATATATATATATATATATATATATATATATATATATATATACATATATACTCATATAGTGTCGCTTTAAGAGCATTTTAATGTAAAAAAAGTCTCTTATGACTACAATTTTAATTACCTCGTCTCTTAAGCTGTTTTTGATTGTCATCGAAATGTCAAAGCAATTAATTTATGCGGAAGTACATTAAATTTAATTGTTTTTTAAAAAATTTTTTAAAAACCGCAATTATAACGACTAGAAAGTTTTTTTTAATTAGTGGTGTTTTTGTTATTGATTTAATAAAAAACATTTTTTAAACATGCGTAAATGTTGCTACATCGACTATCTTATAGCCTGACTCGCAACGGAGTGCTGCTACATCGACTGACAAATAGCCTGACTCGCAACGGAGTGCTGCTACATCGACTGACAAATAGCCTGACTCGCAACGGAGTGCTGCTACATCGACTGACAAATAGCCTGACTCGCAAGGGAATGCTGCTACATCGACTGACAAATAGCCTGACTCGCAAGGGAGTGCTGCTACAACGACTGACAAATAGCCTGACTCGCAAGAGAGTGCTGCTACATCGACTGAGGGTTTGGTTTGGCCAGGCAGTCTATCAATTAAAAAAAAAAATTTAATTTTTAAAACTTTTTCTGGTCTGGTTTATTAACGCGCTCTTTAGTCTTGCATGTCTCTTGCGTAGCATCAAAAAATATTTCCCATAAACTGTAGTTTTAAAGAGCGCGTTAATAAACCAGACCAGAAAAAGTTTTTAATATTAAATTTTTATATATATATATATATATATATATATATATATATATATATATATATATATATATATATATATATATATATATATATATATATATATATATATATATATAGATATAGATATATATATATATACATGTATATATATACAACCATATATATATATATATATATATGTATATATATATATATATATATATATATATATATATATATATATATATATATATATATATATATATATATATATATATATATATATGTATATATATATGTATATATATAAATATATACATATATATATATATATATATATATATATATATATATATATATATATATACATATATATATATATATAAATATAAATATAAATATATATATATATATATATATATATATATATATATATATATATATATATATATATATATATTTATATTTTTTTGTTTTCTGATTTAGTATTAAAACTACTAAAGTCTTGATCGTTGTAAAATGCTCAATATTTTAGAAATATTTAGTTTTTCAAAAACAGTCCGTTTTCTACTTGAATATAGAAAAAACAATTTTTATTGGAACTTAAAGATCTTATTTTTTTATATTTAAGTATATATATATATATATATATATATATATATATATATATATATATATATATATATATATATTAAAAAAACAGGATCACGGAGAAGATTGCTGATTTCAAGTCAACAATTATGTTTTGGCCAAAGGCATGCAACTTGCTGTAGTTGATGTTCTTTATAAAAAAGAGAATTCAATGCAAATCAGCCAGTATTTGAAAATAAATTTTTTGACAGTGATTTATCAAAGAATGAGGATATTGATTATGTGTTACTCTCTATTTAATACTGTTGTAAATAACGCAAAATGACTACGAAAAGAAATTTCTTATGTTCACATAAATATGATGGTGCTTGATGAATCTATTTTTACAGATTTTTTGACAGTGTTCTGCTGGGTATTTAATGCTCTTACTGGTAAATCAAGATTGAAATCAAAAATTTGACAAATATTGATTTAAAAAATACTAAGTATTCTGCAGTAATTTATCATAGAATATAGGCTTAATGTTACTGTCAAACTTGTTTCTTTGAAAGATAATTTAGGTGACTTATTAAAAAGAGTTCGGAGCAGAGGGTTAAATAAATTGACCGAGGCTAAGCATTTTAATAATTTCATTGGAGTATTAGTTGCAACGGCTCAATTCATTTATAGCATACACAAAAGAACCGGATACTTTGGAATGAATCGAACGTTAAACTTCGTATAGTAATTCTGCTACCTAATAAGGCGTTTGAGTTGTAATTAAAAATGCAATGTCAAAAACCACGTCAGTCAACAGATTTAGCACCTGTACAATGCTTAAATGGAAAATTGAGAAAGTTTGCCCCTTTTTTTTTTAACTTGATACCTTTTGATAAATCTGGACGACGAAGAATACAACAATCTTGTTTATTTAACCCAGTGGGCACGGACGTAAAAAAGTTGTCTTTTAAACGTCGTGCACACGTTTTGGACGTCTTTTGAACGACTTTTGAACATTCAAAAGACGTCTTTTTTTGGTCCGGTGCCAACGGGAATTGTCAAAGGAATATACCCTCAAGGATAAGATTAACAAAGATGGGTTAAGAAGAAAGTCTAAAAGCTATTTTGGTAAAGGATGGCCTACTTTTTTACTACGATAAAATAAGAAACATGGATCTACTAGTAGGTTGAACAAATAGAAAAACTATGATTCTTGAAAGCTGTTATTCTGCAATTCTTGGTGGTGGTCAATTTGGTTGAGGTAAAACATTAAAAAAACTTTCAGATAAGTAGTACTAGAAACGGGATGGTAAATGATGCGAAGAAATTTTGTAAATATTGTGATAAATGTGATTGTTAACTTTATGTACTAAAGTTTATTATTTAATAGTTATTTAAAACAGTTACAACAATGATAATTGTAATTTATAATACTACAGGTTTTATTGTCTAAGTAATACTAAAATTTAAACATAATTGTAAAAAAAATGTATCATTTTGAAAATGATTTTCAAATAATATAAATTAAAAAATACTTGATTAACTAAAATTATAATTTGTAACCAAACTTCAAACATACATAGTTTCTATTATTTCCTTCATAATATACTTTATAGAGCAAGTAGTTCAGCTGAATGTTGAAAAACACTCAGCTGAACTACGTCGTATTAAAGTTAAAGATAAAGTATGGAGTACAGTTGGAATTAATTTAATTGGACCTCTTTCTTTAACAGAAAAAGGAAACAAATAGATTATAACAGCAACCTGTTTCTTCTCTATGTGGCCTGAAGTTGCTTCCTTTTCTGAGAAAACAGCTACAAGTGCAACAGTGTTCTTGTATACACGCTTTACAAGACAGCATGTCTTGTAAAGCGTGTATACAAGATTGTAAAGTTCAGATAAGTGATCAAGAAAAAGAGTTTGTTAATGAGGTACTGTGTTGGATTATGTTTATTTAATTGTCTTTCTTTTCTTTGTTTATTTTTAGTTTTCATCACTTTTTTGAAAAAAGCTCTATTTTTTGTGTAGCTGTAATAATTCTAAATTTTGATACGTTGATATATTAATATTGAATGTGAAGAGTGATTAAAGAATAAGTCAAAATTTTTACAACTTTAGAACTTGTGCATTTAAACTGATAAACGAAATGAGAGTTAAAAAACAACAATTAATCTGCCTCACCTGCAATGCATATATGTAAAAAAAAAATTCTTTTTTATATATGCATTGCAGATGATTAGGTATTGTCAATATTTTGCACAACAAAAATGTTTTATGTCAAAACTTGCTAAACTTAATTCTTTTATTAACTAATTTTTATATATCGGGTTATATTTTACTTGTTTATTTTTTAATAAAAACCTTATACAGGCCCTTTTATAATGGGTCTATTTTTATATATTATTTCTCTTCATATAGAAAGTTCTTATTATTTTTGATTTGTTTAGGTAAACAATGAATTAAATAAAATGATTGGAACAAACTGCAATTTTATAAGTATCTACCGTAACGTCAAGATGAAAGGTTCAACCAAACTCTTCTGTGTCAACTTTTAAAATAATTTAATGAAAACCAAAACACATGGGATCTATATATAAAGAGTATTTTGTTTTTATATCGTGTTTCTGTTCAATACTCAATTAAGCAAACACCATTTTAGCTAATTTATTGGAGACAAGCTAGGCTTCTTGTTGATTTACATAAAAAATATATAAAAAATAATTTTGAAAATAAATCTACAATTGATGACAGTTTAAAAATTAGAGAAAGTGTTTTAGAAAATGTAATTGAAATGCAAAAAAATGTACAACAAAATATTGGAAAAGCTCAGGAACGGCAAAAAAAAGCCTATGATGCGAAACATTGTTCAGAGACCCAGTTATTTAAAGCTGATTTGAATACTGCGCAATTGAATATTACGCGTAAAAATCCCTAAGCTGTAAAAGTTCAACTGCTTTGCACCTGCTTAATGCCTTGCATTTTTGACTTTATCATTGCTTACCTAAAATGACTAAAATGCTTCCATATTACATGTGCCCAATATAAAGAAAACAATTCAGTGCAGGAATGAAAATACAAAATATGCAAACAGTCGTAGATATTTTTTGTAAAATATTTTAAAAAATATATTGTATATATGGTATATATATATATCTCTTTAATAATACTGAACTTAATGGTAGTAGTGCTCTTTCAAGCCTGTTTGACACAATACTCTTGGCAACCATTGCATCCGAGGTAGTGACGAGAAAGAGTCTCACCTTTGCTTTAGAAGAAAACGTGAGCAAACGTGAAACTCATATCGTACGCACCTAAACTTTATGTTATGTAATGTTAAAACATGCTTAAACATATATCAAGTTTTACAGTTTGATTTTCACTTAAGAACTGCATTTTTTCAACCTCTGTTTAAAACGTGTCAGCGTAGTGAGTGGTTAGTGCGCTGGGGCAAAGAACAAGAAAGCCGTAGTTCGATTCCCACCATCGCACAGTGGGATAAAATCGCGTATTTTGTGCCAAAATTATTTTTAATTTTTTT